AAAAAACATAGTTTAACACAACTATAATGCAGGCATTTGATTCACTAGCCTATTTTTCGAACCTTAAAGCTAGCCCTACCCCACTAACCCCTCTATAGTGTCCACTTGTTAACTCATTCAAACACACTCCATACAAACAACACAGCAATGGCAAAGTTGAGTCAGTTTTGAGTATGTGATCAATATACTGTATGTGAGAAGGCATCTGGCTTTTAATATCATATATATATAATAATAACAAAGCATAATGTCATGTTCTGCAAGTGAGCTATATAGGCTCAGAGAAGCAGTACACACTTGGACTGAAGTATCATATCGATCTTCTGGATAGTGGGTGTGTTTGCTCCCAGTCTCGGCTTTTGACCTTTCTAAAGGTCTACAGTACTTTTATCTCCCAGAAATTGAACTCTTTGAATGGCAATGTTTTTAGTCTATTAAAACCTCAATGAAGACCGGAAAAACATTAATGTTGTCTTTTCATACAATACATGACTGTATTTAGTGAAATCAGAAAATAAAATAAAAAATGTTTTAATGATTTACTTGTCCATGCATTAAGCTGCGATAGGAGAAAGTATTGCAAGATTGCAAAAAATCACACACTTCAGCTTTAAAGTGTGCCACAATCACAGTTATTTCCGTAGATGGCATGAATGAGAGCAGAGTGCCCTGGAAATACTGTTTCTGCCGAGAAAAAGTGGTGAACAAGCCCTAAACACGCATCATCTCAGGTTTACAGCATGGCGACAGGGAAGAACATTTAGAGCAGAAAAGCGAGCCGGCCATTCGAGCCGAATAGAGAGCTTGTACGTAGGTGTACGGAAGAAGAAAACCAATTATGTTCCAACTCTTCACAAGCATTTCACACATGAGAATCAGACAGCTATGCAGAACGAACTACGCATCTGGTCTTGCGAGTGTGTTTGAGTCCACTAACCCATTTCCTAATGATAGGCTGGTGGTAGAGTCCCTCTCTGTCTCTCATGCATCAGTGAATTCAGATGTAGTCATGCACCACACTGTCATGTGACATTTGTCAGCCTTCATTCACTCAGATGTCAAGAGTTTGTGTTTAATTGAGCAGCAGTTACAGGTTTAGCGTGCTGCCGTGCATGGCTTCATCTGCTGTAGTGGGCTGAATATTGTTTGGCACAGCAGAGATAAAGTTTTGTGCAACGGCGCAAAGTTGCTGCAGGCATCTTTGGTTCACAGCTGTCATGATGTCAAAACAATATTTACTGCACAAGAATACTGAATTCCCTCAAGCTTGGCCATGCTCTGAATAATAATCTGTAGTGAACTCTGAAGTGTTAAAAGCAATCATACATAGCGATGACATAAGAATGCGTGTAAAGTATGTGTAAGTTATTTTGCAAATGCATAAACAAACCAGTTAAAACTGGAGAAAAACTTTGTTTCTTACTAAAGAACTACTAGTTGCCTGTTCCTAAAAAGATAGCACAAACTATCACACAGACCACGCTGTTTATAAATTTCAGATCTTTCTTAAGCAAGAGCAGGAAATAAATAGACGTCAGATGCAGTTTTGGGGAAACTATTTACAGCTCTGGTGATTACGTGTATAATGTTCCTGTTCAGAATTTATTCTAAAATAGCCATTTCTCATATCTCTTGACCAGCAAGTGGCACTGTGCCAAAACTGGGCAAGTAAACTCATGCTTATAATGACAGGTACCAAGATTCGTCACAATATGCTGTTTGACAACCATTTGGTCTATTGAAAATCTTTTAGTAACTTTTTGCCAGCATGATCTTAAGATGATCCGAGTCAATTTTGGTAAAAATCAGATGAATCAGATGAAGAAGGTGAAGAAGAATGGTCGTTTCTCAATATGCGTTCTTCAGCGATCTTGCGTCCTTGTGTTCTCTTTCTACGTCATCATTAACCGTCGAAGTTCAGTTCCAATTCTCAATAACGCAATGAAGGTTCCCGGATGTGTTCTTGATATCGAGGATGCATCGAGTGCAGACTTGAGAGAATCGAGCCGTTAGAAATCCCAGAAGACGCTTCTGGCGGCCGGTGTACGGAAGCCTGCAAGCTATAAACTCACTCTCGCAAATACTTGACGGCTCTTGAAAGTAAACATTTATCGTTTTGTTTTGCTTAATTTTAATAAAGTTATAAGACCCGGAGAAAGTCTGCAGTATTTTTATTGGCATATTAAAATGAATCTTAAAAGGGTCATCGGATGCGACATGCACTTTTACAAGCTGTTTGAACATAAATGTGTGTTGGCAGTGTGTGTACACAACCACCCTATAATGATAAAGATCCACTCAGTGTTTTTTTTTTTTATCTTGTTAAATAATTTCCCCTTTCTCAAATCGAGCCGATCTCAGACCCTCCCATGATTGTTTGATTGACATTAGCATTACAGCACAGACTATACTGGTGTCTTACCTTAGACCCACCCTGAGTGAGCTGTCAACAGTCCACCATTGTTTCACCGCCGGAGCAGATGTAGACAAGAATGTCTCTTAAGCGATTGAGGTGTTTTGTTGTTGGATGTAATAATGAACATAGCAGTCGTCATTTACTCCCGACATCTGAGCCGCTGAAGACGCAGTGAATTACTTTTGTTTCTGAAGGGAATGCGCCCCCCAATCAAAGTTATCTAAATGCGTCTATCTTCGTGTGAATCATTCGTGATCCAGTTTCACCTCCAGAAGAAGTGAGTGTAAGGTTTTTTAATGAATCTTTGCAAATCAACTTTCCTAATAATATGCTAGTAAGTTTCACGATGAATGCGGCTAAAGTTTACCATCTCTCAGAGAGCGGCTCGGAAGAACAGCAGAGCTCGTTTGCATTTAAAGCAGCATGCAAGGAAACAGCTCGCTATGAACAGAGCTGTTTTTGACAGGATAAAACGGTGTTGTTTTAAACTACCATTGAGAAATTTTAACCAAACTATGTTACAGACTTTTCATTGAGACCCTAAAGAATCATATCAACTTGTGGAAAATGGGCATCCGATGACCCCTTTAATATAGTCATAGTTAAACATGTAACGCTGTAAAATAAAACGATATACAATTATATGAAAATTATATCTATAATAGCATGAAATGTTTTCATAATTATGACATTTGTTTATAATGTTATGTTATATTTATGATTCATTACCCGCTGCTTACGCTGTGACTATGCGGTCAGTTAAGCAAGAACGCAGTACATCTCAATTCTCATAAGGGTGCGTTTTGTGTCCTTGCGTCCTTCCGAGAGTTCGTTCTTCCAAGGAAGCTTGGCAAGACCGGTCTCCACGAGAACACAAGTCCGTTCTTTGCATTCTTGGATTGAGAAACAGCCAATGTGAAGAAGAAGAAGAAGAAGGTGAAGAAGAAGAAGAAGAAGAATGTGAAGAGACCAAGAAGAAAAAGAAGGTGAAGAAGAAGAAGAAGAAGGTGAAGTAGAAGAAGAAGTTGAAGAAGAAAAAGGTGATGGTGAAGAAGAAGAAGAGGGTGAAGAAGAAAAAGGTGAAGAAGAAGAAGAAGAAGTGGTTGTGGTGGGCTGCTAATGAGATGAATGGGAACACATTATTTCATAATTTAATGTTTATTTTTTAAACTGCACTATCAGTATGAATAATGCATGACATGTAAATAAAAAACGTTAAAAACAAAAAAAAGTGCCAACTCCCAACAGTGATCAAATGTACTAGAACAATTGAATGATTACTGCTGATGATTATTTAGCTCTTCTCCAGCTTCCTCACGCCTCTATTTGTTCCTGCGCACTCTGTAGTGTCAAGGTTTTCCTCTCTAAAGAACATATGGCATTGCGAGCATCTTCCAAGAGAGGCTGTTTTACATGGTCTCAAGAGGGAGGGTAAGCAAAACAATGGAGAATCCAGATTGTGAGGTAATAAATCTGTTAAACCGGTTTCATTGTTCTTCCCTGAAGTCCTAGTTGCCATGAATTATGTTGACATAATTGCCAACATGCCTCGAAGCAAGTATAAGCAGCTTCAGGAAGCAAGGTCGCATCTCATCATGCAATAACTCGCCAACAACAAACGCATACATATACGCAATCCAAAATATTACCTCCTGATCCATCTTTGGAGGATATTGATAGATAGGTTGCAGATGAAACTGACTGGAATTAGCAGTTTATGCAGCTTAGTACATTTACACAGCATTCCAGTTAATCATGCAGATGTCAACTGAAACTTATGGCCTTGAGAACAGAAGAAACAATGGTAAATCCCATCATCGACTTTGGGAAATAAAGTAGTTGAATAGTTGCTCCCAGGCAAAACCGAAGAAAAGCAGAAGAAAAAAAAAACAGATGAAACAAACTCAAAACTGAGAGCAAATATTAAAAACACACTGCCGAATGTCTCCATTAACAATCAAACATTAGTGAACGTCTCAAACATGTATAGCAGCATTGATCATGAGGTGATTCAATATTTTTAAGGGAGTTGTAAAGTGTCTATCAGTTTGAAAGACACTATATGAAGGGCCATTTTAACACGATTTGTTACAGCACAGCCAGTACATTTGATCATAACCCATTTGAGCCTTTCATTTTTTTATTATTTACACACAAACACATCTTATTTATCCAAGTCTGCAAGGCCTCCTATTGTATGATGAAATGTATGGGGCTCCAATAATCTGTGCTTTGCACATTTACCTAGACATTTGACCTTGCAAGGCTGAGAAACACAAAGCAATGGAGCTTCTTATGACAGTTTGTATGAAGGAAGTACTGAAATGTGTCATCCATTAAATGCACACTTCTCAAATGTGAATATGGACTGTTGTTAACAAAAATGGCAATCAATGGAACTGAGTGCAGTTCAGGTTTGGGTAAAAGCCAACAACTGATTCACCATATGAGTGCTTTATTCATGCTCTTTTGCACATTTTCAAAGACAAACAAGACTCTGATGGAACTGAAAGGTCTGAAAGCTTTTCACAAGTTTCAATCTTGGGTCTGACCCTCATAACTGGCTTTCACTTTCAGGTTGGCCTCCATGTCACCAAGCTGAGATGTACACACCACACAAAAGCATTGCAGGAACACATCTTAGTTAACTAGCACTCCTGCAATATTCACAATTCACTACAGAATGTGCCATTAAGGCCAAACCTGTCAGGATGGTTCCCTGCTGGCATTAACTCATAGGGGAGATTCCTGATGGATGAAGGTGAGGTATGCTCTGCAGGTGTCCGCTGGGAACATCTTCATTCCCCCTTTCTTCTCTTCGCTACCCGTCTCTCCTGGGAAAAGAGCGGTAAGGGTAGCATCCTCAGCAGCTTCCAGCGCATTAGCTCTGATCAAACGGCTGCATGCGTCTCCCGTGCCACTCTCAGCTCCTGCTCTCCGGAACAGAATATGTGCATTAGTGCTCGTGCATTATAAATGGAAGCAGACCTATGTTTTCAAACATCGTTACAGAGGCAGAGGATGAGGTTTAAAAATGAATACACATTATAATTTATCCATTATGGTATATATATATATATATATATATATAAACCCCCACATTGAATTTGGGTCACAAGAATGTTTTGTTATTTATTTATATATATATATATATATATATATATATATACTGTATATTAGTTGCTGATTGCACGTGTTTAGTATTTACATGTATTTTATAAGATTTTTTACTACATTAAAGACTGGCTCACACTACAGGATTTTTAGCCCGATTTAGCCCCGATTTTCCCCTCCCGAGAATCGGAGCAAAAATCTTGTTGAGCACCTCGATCGGTCCTGATGTTTGGCGTGGATTATCTGGTAATGTGAGGTGTTTACCGATCGAATCTTGCACCTCTCGATCTGCTCGCACACAAATCGGGGCCGCCCCGATCATAGCAAACATGTTTGATATTTAGGATTTAAATCGGGATGATGACGGCTATATGATTA